GGAAGCAGTGAAGCCGAAAATGCCATGAGTCAATAAGAGCTGTTTTCTCGCGTTCACTTTCTTGAAACTGGTTCAAAACGCGTTTGAAATACAATCCATTTCATGTTTTCAAATCATTTTCTCGCGCCGAGAAGTTATAACGTCATTGTGAATAAACTGTTCTAAGCCAATTTTGAAAAATGTTTCAAAATTTTGATACGCGCGAAAACACCTATGAGTTCCGAGTTGGAGTGGAATCACAGCAGATTTTTGTCACGTGACCTTGGAATTGAAAGCAATTTCTAGGACGCGGTTAGAGCACGTTCGCCTTGCTAACTGTGTGTACTCGAAGTCGGCAACCGAAATTAAAAATTGCCCAAAAGTAAAGCCCAATTTATAAACTCACAGTCGAGATTTCGTTTGCGTTTGCGTTTGCGTCTATGGGATTTCTGATATTAGTGCAGCGAAATAGGGTGAAAATTGTTTCAATTTTTTTTTTGAGGTATAACCAGATTAAACCTTTATGATATCATTGATGCGTCATTGGACATACGGAATTGCCGACTTTTGACTTTTTTTAGCGGTACCGATTTTTTCTAGATCGAAAAATATGTAAAATTTGTGAAAATAATTGTTTTGTACTTTTTCACACATAACTCGCAATATTTCGGAAACTAATTGAGATAATTAAACAATTTTTTTTTAATCGATGGAGGAAACATGAGCGAACGTAACTAATTTGTAACTGCGTAACTAATTTGGTTTCCTCGAAATACATAGTTTTTTCTGCATATTATGAGGAAACTCGCACAGGAGGCGCGTCAAGGGAGAAGGGTAGCGTGGCCAGAGATGTATTCAACTTCAAGTACCGATAACTTGAACAGTAGCAAAGACAATACTACTACGTAGTAGTATTGTCCTTGACAGTAGGCATCGATCGTACTGCGGCTTTTTAAAAAAACTTTCTCGGAGCCTTAGCTTTAATTCATACGCAATAATATGGCAAAATTCCTTAAAACAAAAAAGTTTCTCGCTTACCGAAAAAAGTGCTGCAAAAAACTATCTGTCCGAGTTTCCTCCCAATATGCAGAAAAAATTATATATTTCGAGGAAACCGAATTAGCATAGTTACGTTCATCCACATTTTCTCCATCGATTAAAAAAAAATTGTTCAATTATCTCAATTAGTTTCCGAGATATTAATTGCGAGTTATGTGTAAAAAAGTACGAAACAATTATTTTCACAAATTTTACATATTTTTTGATTTAGAAATAATCGGTACCGTTAAAAAAAGTTGAAAACAGCCATTTCGGATGTCCAATGACGTATCTAATGATGTAATAAAGGTTTCATTTGGTTATACCTCAAAAAAATATTCATGAAGGAAGCGACTTTTTCCTACACTATTTTCACTTGGTAACGGCGTGCTAAACGCAAACGTTAACGCTCGACGTTCAGTTTATAAATTGGGCTTAAAAGACTCGTCCAAAATTAAATTTCTTATTCTACTAAAAACAGTACTTTTAGAAGTTAAAACACTGGAACAGTAGATCAAGGGTGCAAATAGTAGATCTACTGCTAAAACAGTGGATCTGGCAGCACTGATCTAATTCAAAAACAAAACTTTGTGCCTATTTTCGTTGTTTTGATTCTTCATTTTTCAAGGCAATAAAGCACTAAGACAGTACTTCTAGTCCGGGAGTTAACGACATATTTTATTGTACCATTTTCGCAAGCTTCATTCTTTTTGTATGTGCTATGCGTGTGGTATATGATACAAATATGAACGTCTGCCGGCGCACCCTCACGACAGGGGGTTACAGGAAGGTTACAATTACAGCAAAAAATTTACGAAAAAAACTTATAGCCGCACAAGCGAAACTTATTGTACGTATTGGTAGAAACAGAAAGCTTAGAAAATATCGTCTGCCACCTAAATTCCACGACAAAAGTCGTCTGCCACTCACAAAAATAAGCGCAAAAAAAATTTAAAAAAAAAATATACCCGCAAGGCTGAAATTAATTGGAATACTTCTTTTCATAGTAACAAAGACAAAAATAATAGTCTGCCACGAATAAGATACAACGAAGATCGTCTGCCAAGCCTATGAAGTTGGGTTCGGCATGCAGTGCCCGAGCACCACCGCTAGGACGCTGCATCTGTCTCTTATTCCTATCTATTTTTTATTTTTTTTTGTAAGACTAACCAGAATGAATTGTAAAAAGCTCATTATGGAGGGATTCATCGCGTACAGTCAAAATTGATGTTGAATAATATTGATGAAATTCGATGAAATTATTGAAAATGAAAATGAGCAACAGTTTTACTTTACAACAACAACTTTGTATTTTTTTGACACAGCCGTAAACTTCGAATAACAAGCTGAGTGGTATCTCTGATAGTCATTTACTTCTTGAGGTAATATAACGTAACTCAAATCTAAATTCTTCTCTTTACGGATTGAGAGAATATTTTCACTTATTTAATGTAGTGGTGCCGCGAGACAAGACTAGACGAGACTGGCCGAAACTCACTAGCAACACGCCACGTCATGCTTTGCCACACCACGCCATGTGACGAAAATGTATGCGTATATTCTTCCATTTATTTATATGTGCTTCGTACACACTTGCCATACGCGATACCTCGCCATGGCACGCCACGCCATCCGTCCATTTGCACACAAACTGTCCCACGTAAACACGTGTCACATGGCGTAGGGTGGCGTGGCGTGTTGCTACGCCACCCCACACCATGTGACATAGGTTCACGTGGGACAGTTTATGTGCAAATTTTTAACACGCCACGTGATGACACGCTCATTTTATTCTATACATTTTATTTAGAAAAATTTTCAATAGCTTTGAGTACCTTATGGAGTATAGAAGAAGTTCGTCTAGTGACTTAGAGTTTCTAGAAGAATGTGCTGTTGCGGCTCTGATTTTACAGAATAAAAAAAAGGAGATTCCGGGTGCAGAAAATAAACAGGAATCGAGAAAAAATGGTGCTTTTCATGTATTAATGATGGAGCTGGAGGCAGATCGTAATCGATACCATGTACTTCCGTATGAAGAGAGAACAATTTGATTATTTACATAATCTTGTGAAAGACAAGATTAAAAAGCAGGAATTCGTACTGCCGTACCTTTTTTATCAGAAATTCTTGCTGCATTTTTCTGTATTACTATTTGCGACGCGTCAGAATATGAATAAATACAGAAACAGATTGCGGCGGGGCTAGAGAAGCGGCCGGGGAATATCTACACGTACTACCAACACGCGTGGGCAGCATCTGAGGATTTGAAATCATCACACGTCGGATGGCGTGGCGTGCCATGGCGTGGTATCGCGTGAGACAAGTGTGTACGCGGCACATGTAAATAAATGGAAGAATATACGTATACATTTTCGTCACATCGTATGGTGTGGTATAGGATGGCGTGACGTGTTGCTAATGGGTTTCCGCCTTTAGGGTTAGTCTCGGTCTCGAGTACCAAAGTCTCGTCTCGTCTCGAGTGGTCTCGTCTGGTCTCGAGCTATACAGGGTGTCCAAAAAATAGCGTGAAAACTCTTCTTTACGTGATGGAGGACCCTACAAGGAACCCCAGAAAAATACTTTAAAAAATCTAGTGGTATATGTCAAAATTAAATTAAATACCCATGTAACTACCTGAAGAATTCGAAGGTGAATTTTCACATCTATCTCTTCATATTACCAAGAATAATGCTGTAGAAGGATTTTTTTAATTTAATTATTTTACTAGGGTTTCTCAAAGGGTCCTCTACTACGTGGAGAGTTTTTACGCTATTTTTCGGACACCCTGTATTTATGGTTTTTGTTTTTTTATTATAACGGAAGTCCAAACTGCCACAGTGAGAAAGCAATTAGTAAAAAATCACAGTAAAGAGTGACCCTGATATTTAATTTACTGATTTCATATTCAAATAGCCCAGAATAGTCAAATAATAAAGCTATGAAAGAAAAATTTTAACTGTAATCTCGAGACTCGAGACTACACGAGACTCTCGCCGAGTCTGTTCTCGTCTCGTCGACCAAAAGCCAGTCTCGTCTCGAAAAGTCGAGACGAGACAAGACGAGACGAAACCAGTCTCGAGTCTCGCGTCATCACTAATTTAAAGTATGAATTCCAAACTTTTGCAATTTTCCTGTTTTTTTTTTACAAAAAACACAGTGAGGCTTTACTCCAGACATTTCAAATTTGCACGCACTTTCCACAAGACTTTTATACCTCAATTTATGGAGACTCTGTGAGACCCTGCACTGACGCTACTGACAATTGAAAGTACTGCCAAAAAACAACTTCATAAATATTGCGCAATTAGTTTTTTTACAAAAATTCTATGATCCCCCATATGCCAAACCTAACTTCATAGGCTTGGCAGACGATCTTCGTTGTATCTTATTCGTGGCAGATTATTATTTTTGTGTTTATTAATATGAAAAGAAGTATTTCAATTAATTTCAGCCTTGCGGGTATAAATTTTTTTTATATTTTTTTTGCGCTCATTCTTGTGGATGGCAGACGACTTTTGTCGTGACATTTAGGTGGCAGACGATATTTTCTAAGCTTTTTATGTTTCCACCAATACGTACAAGAAGTTTCGCTTGTGCGGCTATAAGTTTTTTTCGTAAATTTTTTGCTGTAATTGTAACGTTCCTGTAACCCCCTGTCGTGAGGGTGCGCCGGCAGACGTTCATATTAATATCATATACTACACGCATAACACAAACAAAAAGAATGAAGCTTGCGGAAATGGTACAACGAAATATGTCGTTAACTCCCAGACTACAATGGCCGTTAGTTACATAAGGAAACAAAATTATGTAACATAGGTAATTTGTTTTCCCTTGCCCTCCAATTCCTCCAAAAGTCAAACCATCAGTAGCCAGCAGCATCAGCTTTCGACCAATCAGTTAGTCGATAGATGGTCACATGCTTTCCCAAGTTTCTCGCGTCATTCGCCATTGTTAAACTAGTCGTTTCGTTTCGTTTGCCATTTTGGTGCATCGTTGTGCATTATTCGCAGAATTATGGTGAGTTTTGGCTTGAAATATTTATTTAAAAAGAAGTGAAATAAAATATATCGTGTAGACCCAGCTCTCCCATATTATAATTTTTCACTTTTCCTACTAAATCGCTTGATAGCATAGATTTAATATCTACTAACGTGACAAGATAGGTAACGCCCTATCTAAAAGCATTGGAGCAAGGTGGCAAAAACATGTGTTAAGAATCTCTACGTATTCCTAAGAAATACGTAGAGGTATTTTATTAGAAGCAAAGGCTCCCATAAGCGTACCCATAAAAAAATCATTTCTTGAAATAGGTAGATATATATTTAATTCCAGAAAAAGGTAGTTTTAAAAATGATAAATTCGAGCACTTAAACTGAAAGCAAACTGGACTGTTTCCAAAAAAAAAATACATGAGCTGGGAGATGGGACCAAAACAATAGGTCTGTTTCTATAGAAATCACAAACTAGTCAGAGCGAATTTCATTTCATTCATTCTAAAATCAAAATTAATGATTTTTTTTACATACTTAAACCTATGAACGAGTACCTCGACAAGTACCCCTCAACCTGGACAGTACTCTAGAAGCGCTGGTGCTTGCAACAGCAGGAACAGTAGGGGCTTTAAAAATTTTAGCATCAGTTTTTGAAAATCTATAGTCTCCACTGCTAAAATGGCCTGCACAAACATACGTCCATTTGCTTACTGAGCTGGATTTTAAATTTAATGCTCCTAACCATGTTTTTTCCACATCATAAATTATCCGGAATACTAAAAAATAGCATTAAATAGAAATACAAAATTAAAATATGTACCTACCATGTTGTATTTTTGTGGCCTACATGCACCTCCAACACTGTTTTTTTTCCCCTTCAATCATGTCGATGTCATAAGTTTTGTTTACTAACGGGTGAAATGATAAACAATCCGCTGGTTTTCCCCTTTTCTGACACACTGCACACTTATTAGTCATTTTGAATCCTGAATAAGAAACTTGCACGAAATGTATGAACATATAAATGATAAATTTTTAAACAATTCCACTTTAAAGCAGTGAAACACCCAAAAAAGTCGATAAAATAAACACACAATAATATCGGGTCTTCAAAAAAAAAACAATCAAAGATTGCTTTGGTTACGAAAACGTACGTCGGATTATTGTTTCTTTATTGGCCAGAATTTTTGACATGACATTTTGACATTAAATCTCATTGACTGACATTGTCAAAATTAAAGAAAAATATTGCTAAGACGTACGTTTAAAAAACCATAGCAATCTTTGATTGTTTTTTTTTTTGAAGACCCGATATATATTGACATTTACGCAGGTACGACAATCGGTTGCTATTGGGAACCACCCAAACAATATACTCTGTTTAGCTAGACTTGTATAGTGTTCTTTTCGTTTACATATTGCCTTAGAGAGAGATGTCTAAAGATCCAAAATGTAAACGGATTTTTGGAAATCCTACTATAGAAAACCAGCGTAAACAAAGTAAGAGAGACAAAATCAAAATATTTGGAGAGAGATCTTTGTACTATATTTGGAAGTTGATTACTCATCTTGATAGTCATGATGTTAAATCGTGTGATAGTGGATTTTTGCAGGGTTATCTTTTGTTTTATAGCCGCCCACTTTATCGAAAGTTATTTTTTTTTTCAAACGATTTGTCACGAATATGCAAGACTTGATAAGTAGTTGAATACCTACTAACGTTCGATAGTTAAGCTTTCGTTTATTTTTAACAAAATTTCTTTTTTCATTTTATATACCTAATAGTCAACCATCCAAGGACCTTTTTTTTCAGTTATACATGTAAACCCCATACTTTGTGAGTGGCTTGCTTACATCAAGTCCTACAACTTTTCCTCTACGACTTTTCTCGGAAATGGCACGTATGCGCGCAGGCGACTCGCAAAAGTCGCAAACATGTCGATCTGACGTAGCTATGTTTCCTGATACATGTAGGTAAATCTAATTTTACGATTACTGTTTGATTTTTATGTCTAAATCACGGAAATCAACTTGGCCGACAAAAATAATGGCAAATTGGGGGAGTCCGATACCCCCAAAATGTCGATTTGACGTGGTTATGTTTCTTGATACATGAAAATCTAATTTCACGAATAATGTTTGATTTTTATTTCTAAATCACGGAAATCAACTTGGCCCACAAAAATAATGGCAAATTGGGGGAGTCCGATACCCCTAAAATGTTTGCGAGTCGCCTGCGCGCATACGTGCCATTTCCGAGAAAAGTCGTAGAGGAAAAGTTGTAGGACTTGATGTAAGCAAGCCACTCACAAAGTATGGGGTTTACATGTATAACTGAAAAAAAAGGTCCTTGGATGGTTGACTATAATAAGTATAGATATTGAGGAGTGGAGACAGTGGAGTGGGCCACCTTCACGTGTTGGAAATGTGGCAACTTATATTTTTTGACGCAGATACATGAATGCAACCGAGAATGAACAATATTTTGCAAGATTTTAGTCAGATTGTTAAATAAATTAATAAATAATTGATCACGTGACCGAAAACGCCCTCTCATTGGCTATTGGCCAAAGCCAAAGACATGCCAAAGCCGATATTCCATAATTCCATGCCTTTGTAGTTCATTGGCTTTTGTTGCCACATTTAAAAATGCGAAATTTAAATGCTCAAAGATTATACCTATCCTTTATTTTTTATAACGTAGTAAAGGACGAAAATAGTTGCTGGGTCTGGGTAGTGAGTTTTGTCATGTTTCACTAATGAGAAGTTTGGCATCCTCGTATTTTCGGGCAAGTGACGTCACCAAAGCTGCCGTTTCGGTACAATAGGCCCCTTGCATCAGTTTTTTTTATTGCTGATTCGTTAATCAATAAATCAACACGTGTTTTTTCTTTTTCTTGTAAGTCAAAAATTGACGGAGATACAACGCTTTGAAATGTACTTCTTTTTCATATCATATGACGTCACACAGGCTCAATATACCTATATATACAAAACTTAATATTTTACGTCCTAATGTACCATTTTTAAATCAAGTTTTGTTCAAATTTCGTTTTGCAATTAAATTTCAAGTAGAAAAAAAAAAAAAAATTACCTACATAAGAAAACAAAAGTATTAAAAAACCAAAATTAAGAAAAATGTCATAGCAGGGACGTAGCGAAGGCCTCTGGTTTGGGGGGGGGGGTGACATTCCTAATTTTCCCAACTTTTTTGAAACATAAAACAAATCATATATAGCATCGTACACGTGTGAAAAAGTGAAACTTTTTAAAAACTATTCCCTTCCTCATACAACTTTTAGATATAGCGCATGAGTCGAGGTATAAAGACGAAAGGCTACACAAAAGAAAAACGCGCATCTGTAGTGACGTCACAAGGGTAACGGCGCTTGACAATAATAGGCAATCCACTTTCTTTATAATCCTTGGTTTGTGTGAATCGTTCGTCGGCTGTCATTGTCATTGGCTGTCTTTCTCCGTCTGTCTACGTTATATCTTTCTTCTCTCTCGTCTCTCGTGTGCCGAAATTTGCCAAAACGTGTCGTTACGTTAACGTGACGCGTCTTTCAAAATACTTTACAAGAAGTTTCACTAAAGAAAAATCATGTGCAGGATTGTGCATGTGTTGGGAGGTGAAACTTTTTAAAAACTATACCCTCCCTCATACAGCTTTTAGACTTAGCGTATGAGTCGGGGTAAAGGCGAAAGGCCACACAAAAGGAAGATGCGCATCTATAGTGACGTCACAAGGGTATCTGCGCTTGACAACAATAGGCATTCCTCTTTGCTTATAAACCTTGGTTTGTGTCAATCGTTCCTCGTCTGTGATTGTCATTGGGTACATTCAGAGCCGCTTTCCAGTATGCACATTGGCGCGCTCTGGCGCGCTCCAGAGCACCTCGGGGGCGCCACGCACTAGATTTGTACCGTTCCAGTATCATGGCGTGGGACGCCTGTCTTAGTGTCAAATATGTCAAATTTTAATAGTAGATTATACCACGAGTCAATAATGATAGCTATTATTCCCGAGGATTATTACGAACTGAGCCGCGTTAGCGGCGAGGGAGTGACATTCCGAGGGAATAATAGCCATTATTGCGAGTAGTAAACTCTACTTTATTTACGACAAATTAATTTATTTGAGATTTTCAATGAACAAATTTCATCCGTCTCACAATTTTCAATACAAATCCACAAGCACTACACGTTTGACACTGACACTTTTGTGGAATAATGACCATTAATCCCGCTACTCGTCATTAATCCCTGGAGGAATAACATATGTCATTATACTGCCAAAATCACAAATATAATACGCACATTATACATTAGTCGTAAATAAAAATAATTATCTGTTTGTTTGTGCAGTTTGTTTTTTTATTTATCAAAAATGAAAGAGAATCAAAACTATATATTTTAAAAAGTTCAATCTTGAGATATAACAAGAAATAAATAGATAAATAGCCACCCACAGATCTGACAGCTGATAGGTTGACGCGTACGTACAGCTCGGGGGCTCGACGCCCCGAGTAGCTCCGGGCGTCACACTCCCATACTGGAAAGCGGCTCAAGCGGTCCCAGCGGCTAAGCTCAGCCACTCAGCAGGGACTTTATTCTCGAAACCAAGGAACAGCGTTCTCATAAGAACGATTGCTCTGTCAGTGTTATGCCGGACGACAAAGACTGAACCTTCGGATCGTTCCAATGAGAACGCTGCTCCCCTGTTTCGAGAATAAAGTTCCTGCTGAGTGGCTGAGCTTAGCCGCTGGGACCGCCTGAATGTACCCATTGGCTCGCTTTCCCCGTCTCTCTACAGTCTACTAATATATTCCTTCTCTCTCATCTCTCGTGTAACGAAATTTGCCAAAACGTGACGTTACGTGATGCGTTTTTCAAATCACTCTCCATATTCTTGTCTAAATATCAGACCGCCGCCTAAGAAGTTTCACTTCAAAAACTGATAAAAAGTTTGACATGTATACAGGGTGTCCCGAATAAGGATGCAGTCTGATCTCGGCAACTATA